ACCGTCTCCTACTTGGAGAAGCACTTGGTCCAATGAATAGCTGGGGCTGGTGGGGAAGAGCTGCTTCCTCCATGGATGGCTGCGTTTTGGTCTCGGAGTCTAAACCCTCCCCAGACCTGGCATTGCCCATCCTGGGTCTTGGTGAGGCTTGACTTGAGTAGCTCTTCTCCAGGGCTGCCTTGTGTAGAGGGACACCAGCTCTAGCACAGAGGAGCTCTTCTGAAACCTAGCCAGTGAGGTGAAGGACACGGAGAGGACATTTGGGCTTTCCCACCCCAGGATGCTGAGCACCTTCGTGCCCTTCCCATCCTGGCGAAGGGGTTTCCTCCTGCTCTGCAGCACCTGCAGGCCATCGCTGCATCTCTGCCACCTCAGTGAGACCTCATGGCCCAGCCAACGGTGTTTTGCCTTCCAAGGTCTGGTCTGCCCTGAAGGTAGACCCCCAAATGCCACGTATGCCATGAAGCTGCTCATCCAAGCAGATCCTCCCTATGCCTGTGGGGACCACAGCAAGAGCATCCCCCGCGGACACCGCCCTGCACCTGCAGCATCACCCGCGCGGGGCTGCCGCCCAGCCCACCCTGCTTCGTGTGCTGGCGCTTCTCCTCCCGCATTCCCTACAGAGATGTAACAGACCTGGGAACAGGGCTGGTGTCAGCTGGGTGTCATCTTTTGGCAGGGAATCCGGGAAACGGCCACCTCGGTGCTAAATTTATCCCCCCGCATCCCGGGAGGATGCGCAGCCACCCTCTGCAAAGGTTGCTTTTCCGACTCCAACTCCCCCCCAAATTTTTCCATGTTTCTTTTTTTAAAACCGGCGGTAGTTTGAGTCATGTTTGTGTTGGGGCAAGAAAACCCAACCCAAGCACGGCTGCAGGGAGCCGGGCTGATGCAGCAGCAAACCTGCCACTGGCTTTTATTACCGCCTGGGTGCTGCAGCAGGAGTTACAGGGAAGCATCGCCCAAGGGAGGGCTGGTTTTTGTTGGGTTTGGTTTTGTTTTTTTTTTAATGCCCACGGCTGCTCCCTCCTAACATTAGCACAGCAGCTGCAGTTTCTGTTTGTCCAAGTTGAGCTTTTATTGCGGTACAATAAAATGAAGGCAGAAAATGGGAGCAGCTAGTTCAGAGTTGTTGGGAGCAGCTGTGATAAGAAAATAGAGCCGATGTCATCTTCTGCACCCATCCCTTTCTGTCCCTCTTTCTCCCTTCTAGGAAGGACCTTCAGACACGCTGACCTGCGTAGAGGATGTCGGTCGTCAGCCGCATCCTAAAGGGCTGCGAGTACACAGGAGCTTTTAGGATTTCTTTTTTTCTTGCATTGCAAAGCTTTTGCTGCAGTGCTAAAAAAAAAAATAAAAAATTGGCAGAGCGCCTCAATACGAGTGACCCACACTCGGTCTCGGGAGGCTGCTGATTTTTCAAAGCCGCTGCAGCGCCTTTGGTTTTCACGCTGGACCGTGTGTCTAACAGTCTCCCATGTGTCTGTCTGTGCAGGTGCAAATGCAGCCTCAGTGGCAAGCGCAGGACCCCTGCCACGACAACGGAAAGGTGAGAAACGCGGTGGCTCTGGAAAGGCAAAAGAGCTTCAGAGGGTTTGGGGGTTTTTTTCCAGCCAGAGCTCGGTTTTGCTTGAGCACCGCCGGTCTTAAAACCAGGAATGGCTAAGGTGGTTTCAAGCGTATGAGTCACGGGCTGTGAATAGTGTATTTTTACACCTATTCCACGGGCTTCACCTCGCAGCAACCTTTTGCTTTCCCCGGCCTTTCAAAGCCCTCATTCCCACTCGCTTTCTTCCTGCGGTTTAAATATTAACACGCATCTGAGCATCCTGTTTGCTTTGCCTCATAAGCTCGCAACCACTCAGCAGTTTGGAAAGCTTTGGGCTCCTGGGATGCCTACAATCAAATAACCTCGGGTGATTTTTTTCTTTTTTTTCTTTTCCCTAGCATGCTTTAGCAGCTGTTTAATTAAACTCCAAATGACTTGCACACTTCTGGGAAGGGTTTTTCCTCTCTGCTGGGAAGGCAGAGCCAGGGCAGCCGGCTGCTCCCTGCCCTCCCTGTAGTTGCTCCTTGGCCATCAGGCCCCTTTTTTGGAAATCGGGAGGTGGGTTTGTGACTGGATATTAAATAGATGAGTTGCACGAGGAAAAACTAACCCCTAAAGCCTGTTTGTTATTTTTTTAAAGGGGGAAATCGGGGTGTGTCGCAATTCAGAAAGCGGCCAGCCACTGTTCTCGTCCTTCCCTTGCTTTTCCCCAATAGGCTGATTCTCGTCGATGAGTTGTATTGGAAAGGGAGTTTCGGAAGAGAAGGCAGATTCTTTTAATTAAAAATTAAAGCTGACTTATTTTTAACATGCCTGTTGCATAATGTGCTGAGCTAGAACAACTCCTCCCCTGTTTTATTTTCAATGGGAGAGAAAAAAAACCCAACAAAACCCACTTTTATTCTACCAGGAACAGGCTTCAATGTTAATTTAATGTGAACTAATGGGCGTCTCAGCAGACATGTGATTTGTGGGTGGCGAATTCCTCGACACGGATGAGGAATGCACAGGCACATCCATGCCAGGGTGGTGGTGGCTCAGCAGCTCCCTTTTGTGCAGCCTTTAATCCGAATTTTGCGTTTTAATTCCTGGGTAGCAGACAAAAGCACGTTAGCGGGAATTGCCCGGTCTTCCCTCTGCGGGAGGAGAAAACAGGGCTGTGAAATGCGTCTGGAGAGAGGGTTGGTGCGGACAGGGTTTGCAGTTCTGCTGTGGCAGGTCAAGAAGGGATGCAGGGTTTGGGAAGAAGTTAAATGTTAGCTGGTCCTTAAAGCAACCTGCCTGGGGGGCACCTGGTGACCTGCAGAGGTGCCCAAGCTGCCGGCCGGGGATGTGGGGACGCTGACCCCAGCCTCTCGTCCCTGTGGGGAATGGGAACCAGAAATGCTCTGCTTGAGGTTTGCACCCCGAGGGGGTGCTGAGAGACAGAGAAGGGTAGATAGTGTTGGCTGCTGTGCAGGTAGGGAGGAGATGCAAGAAGGAAGATGCAGAGCATGGTCGAGGTAGGAAGCGGGTTCACAGCAGCACCCAGGTGGTGCCGCCTCCCAGCGCAGCGTGTCCCGGCAGCGCTTGCTGCTCCCTCTGTCTTTGGACCGTGGAGCCAAACGCTCGCCCTTGGCTCGCATCAGGGGAGCAGAAGGCCGGGGCAGCGGGGTGATGCTGGGGTCAATGCCAGCCCCTGCTTGTCCGCCCTGGCCCTGGAGTCAGGTGGGATGGATTTCTCCATCACGTTATTGGGGTGCTCATGGGAGCAGGGGCAAGATGGGGCAAACAAATTATTAACTTGAAATGTTTACCAGTGTAGCTGCAGTGGAGATCCCTGAGAGATGTCGCAGGTCTCACCCTGCAGCCTCAGCACCGATGGAGGTGCGGAGCCGGGCTGTGCCTTGCTTTTAGGGAACGATAGCTGTGGAGCAGGTTTTTGGGGAGGCTTACCTCCTTGGGTATTGTCACCCTTAGCCCCCGAGAGTAATGCTTTGGGCTTCAATAACCTGAGAGCGAGAAGGAAAGCGAAGTTTAAATGCTCTGCTGTGCTTGCTCCTGCCTGTTGAGCACTGGTGTGCCAAATGTCTGCCTGATGTCCACCCCGGGTCACCTCCGATGCCTATTCTGGGTCAGCAGGTCCTCTGGGAGGAGGAGGCCACCTGAACGCAGGGATTGCTCACCAGGGATGGGCAGGGGTGTGTTGAAAGCTGTTGTGAATGCCCGTCGGGATGGTTTTGAGCGCTAGCCGGTTGCATAGCATCCCCCAAGTTAATTTTCCCTCTCTCTCCCCATCCGAAGCTGGAAGCTGACAGACTGGCACTGCCGGTGAGCCCCAGCCCGCTGAGCCCTGCGCCCAGCCCCAGCCCCAAGCCCCCCGAGGCGGCCGTCCTCACCGTGGAGCCCTCTCCTTCGGAGAAGAAATGCTTCTTCGTCGATGAAGCGGAGCCCCTCCTGCGGTGCGACTCGACCTCCAGCGGCTCCTCCGCGCTCAGCCGGACAGGCTCTTTTATTACCAAAGGTACCGAAACCAGCCCTGGGGGGGAGCGGGAGGACCAAAGGGATGCCACGGTGTGTTCCCTGCGGTCAGCACACACGGCAGAGCTGCCTGACATGGTGATATTAAAGTAAATATCTGGGCAAACTGGCTCTCCGGGATACGTATATCACATCCTCGTTCCAGACCAGAACATCCTGTTTGCAAAGATGATACAGATATGAGAGGGGAAAACACCTGTAAAGGCTTATAACTCCTTGAAGTGCTGCCGGAGAAGTTGTAGCATCCCTGGATGTTTGAGGGGTTTTTCTCCTGATTTTTGGCTGTTGCACTGGGCCATGGGTTATTGCATGAGATGAAACCAGAAAAATGTCATTTCATGATTGCAATTTTTCTTTTCCCCCCACCTTGGTCCTGCTTGCTGCCGCGTGTGACTTGACACGTAAATCACCGTTAGTCACCCCCCCCTTTTTGAGGGGGTTTAATGTACAACATTTAATTTGCTGCATTTAATCTTCTTTAACTTCTGATGAAGGTGAAACACGGAGCTCAGTCAATCTACTGAATTTATAGTTGGGTGTGGAGATGAAGCTGACCCAACAAAAACAACTCAAAAGAGCAGAATTTAGCTTTTTTGGCTCCCCTTCCTCTTCACTTTTCCACATTGGCCATTCAGCATTTATAAACGCTGTGTTTGCTCTAGCGGGATCCTGGATTAGGTGCCTCAGCAGCTCTGGCTTCTCCGTCTTCTTCCCCTCCCCATCGCGCTTCACCCTGCACCTTTTCCCTTGGTTCTCCTTGTGACATGTCCCTCTCCAGAGGTGGCACCAGGGGATGGACCAAGGTCTCCAAGGAGAACAAGCCCTGGTTAGCAGAAATTTCTTGAGGGGTTTCTTGACCACCCTCTCCTTTGCTCCTACAGAAAAGAAGGACACCGTCCTGCGCCAGGTGCGCTTGGACCCTTGCGACCTGCAGCCCATCTTTGATGACATGCTGCACATCCTCAACCCCGAGGAGCTCCACGTGATAGAGGAGATCCCACAGGCTGAAGATAAGCTGGACAGACTATTTGAGATTGCCGGAGTCAAGAGCCAGGAAGCCAGCCAGACCCTCCTGGACTCTGTCTATAGCCACCTTCCCGACTTACTGTAGGCCCTGGGTCACCACACACTCTCCGAATATCTGCTAGAGCTAGCTTGGCACTTGTTAAGACGACCGACAATACGCAGGCAGGTTTTGTTGTAGAATATATGGCCAGTATTTTTGCTGAGGTGTCCTTGGTTTCTGGAGGGGGGGCAGTTTGCCAGCATTGCACCCCTCCACCTCAACTCTATCGCTCAGTCCAAGTCTTTGCGCCCTCTGCCCCCTTCCCAAGCATCTCTGCTCCTTGTTCTCATTCCAGTCAGATCAGTCGATGCACTTTAAAAAAAAAAAAAAAAAAAAAAAAAAAAACCCCCACAATGCAGTTAATGAACTAAAAGACCATAAGTCTGGTGTAATTTAACACATCAAATCGGGGATTGTTCTGTAACCCACTTCTTCTGTCAAAGTTGTCGCTCGGAGTGACCGTCTCCCACCACCTCCCTTCGCCTTGGAGCGGTAAGTGGCAAAAACACGCAAAAAATACCCCAACCCCAATCGTTGCTGGTTACCATCTCTTAACACAGCTAAGCTTTCCACCTGAGCTGACTTTTTTTTTTAATGTACTATTGTATAGCTCATATCCATTGCTGAGATTTTACTAGCACGGTTATTTATTGTATGGTTTTCACTCGGACAATGCATCGCCCTCCTGTAAGCTAAAGCAGAAGCGCTTTAACCGCAAAGAAAAGGGTCAGTCCCACCAACCTTCGAGGCGATGAAAAGGTCCTTTTTGCCTTCAGCCGAATGTAAGGAGTTATCTTGCCTTGCCGCTTGCGGGAACGGTGGGGCCCCGAAGGGAGCCGGTGCTGGATGTGGGGAGGCGAAGGCGGCCACCGGTGGTCCTGCTCTCCTCGTGGTGTAAGACTTAAACCAAGCTATGCTTTTACACTCGTGTCTCTTGTTTTTTTTTATACAGACGTGGCCGATAGGTTCTCTAAAGACCTTACCTGGTCTTAATAGTCTCTTCAAATCACACTTCACTTTTTATTAAGGAAAAAAAAAAGGGGGGGGG